TGTTTGTATGTGCATGTGAGAAAGAAGTCCAGCATTTGCAAGCCCGAGAGCAAAACTTAAATAATCTAAGGAAAAATTAAGCAAAGGAAAGCATTTAAAAAAGAAGGTATTTTATGTGGTATTCTTGCAAAAAATCTTGAAATATATTATTTTAAAAGTACGGAAATTCCATAGTCTGCTGTATGTGAGTGTCCAGTTTTAAAGCTCATTAGGGTTTAAAAATTGACTTTACAGCTGCTTTATGTATGGATGTCAACACAATCTTAGACATGTAGTTATAACCGACATTACAATAATTCCTTCCCACAGGCCCTATCAAGATGGCATAGCTGTCCATTATCTTAATCTGGGCAGATCAGCCTCATGAATACTGGGCGTTTGATTTCCTACAAGTCTGTCAGCACTTCTGGTTAGTAGATTAAAACTACTAGATAATGCATTCATTGTATGTACGCTGAAAAAAAAAAAAAAAGATAAAGGAGTTTGCTTGAGCTTCAAGTGCCTAGTGCAGAAAACTGGAATACTTTCCCAAATAGAAATTCTATAAACAAGAAAATTGTAGTTTGATACATTTAGACTTTTTGAGAAGTTCATCCAATACCTACCCATGGCAAAGTACTGAAGAAGTACCTACTGTTTCTAACCTGGTATTTTGCTGAATTAATTTTGCTGCTTCTGGAGATCACTGTCCTTTTCTAAAGAGTTGTCCTGTAAAAGGGCAGGTAGTCAATGGTAACATTTCATCAACTTTGTGGGTATGTTGAAAAACTTGTGTTTCTTGGGAGGTGCGGTCCTCTGTAGGAAGTAATGCTAGTATCTTTCTGCTAGTGGCAATTACATGTAGCTTGCACTACCTTAATAAAACATTCCTTCACGTACTGAAGAAGAAAGAGTTTATCCAGCATTAGAATATGACTCATTTCTAGTCAGATATTTTTCAGAATATGCTACCTTATATTTTCCTTTTATTTATTGACTTCCTGTTATTTTATATTAAAGCGTATTTGTGCTGCAGTGGAATAATTTCTCTGTAATAGGTAGCACTTGGTATAGCAACTAATTTTGCTTCTTTTTCTGCTTGCAGGTTGCCCACAGATACCTAAGAATTTTCTCCTTGTCCAAAGTTATTGCAATGTACTTTGTAGATGTTACTATAGAAATAAGGTAACTATCTTGTTACAGGGTAAAATACCTCAAGTGAAACTGTTGTTCCCCTTGCAGATCACTCTTAACTTCATGGTATCAACACACAGTATGATGCTTAAATATTCCTATATTTTAATACATTTCAGTGTCTGGCTATTTTACTCTTTAGCTCTTAGTAGATAGTTTACATTTTAAATTGGGAAAAAAACAGTCAGGACCGTTTTCTATTTGGCATTATTAATAAGTCAGAAGTATTTATAAATGGCCAGTAACACCTACTTGTTAGTTTACAAATTTCTAAAATAATAGTTGCATAAGAAACAGAAGTTGTGAAGTGATACATTGTAAGCATCTGAATCTTTGGTAGGGTGAGCTAACTCGAACAATGTGCATTTTAATGTAGTTAAGCATAGGCTAATATTTCTAGGAAAGAAAAATATAAATCAGTTATCTGATGGAGGACTGCATTATGAAAAGTAGTGATACAGAAAAGCATTTAAGAGCATACAGAAATGCTACCCTTGTGGATAAATGTGGAAGCGCACTGTAGCAATAGGGATTTTGTTGGTGGGGCA